AAAAAAAAAGGAAAAAAAAGCTCTGCACTCACCGGCTCCTGCCAGGCCTGGGGGGTGATCCCCGCTGCACCCCACTGCCCTGCACTGCATGGGGGGCTCTGCTACAAGCCTCCATCCCCCATCTGCTTTCCCAGCCCCAACGATGGCTGCCCCACCCAGCTCCAGCATCCCAGCACATTTTTTTTTGGAAAAGCTTGGAAATTAAGTTAAGTGTAACCTAAAGCTACAGTAGCCTAAAGCATATTTTAAAAGTCCATATTTTCTGTTAAAAACAACAAAAAAAACCCTCATAATTTTAAGCCAATTTAATGATTATTTTGGAGGCCTAACTGAACTGTTGAATGCTTCAGAAGAGCAATATTATATACATTCTAACTAAAACCTGCTTTATTTACATATACACCCCAGTTGTATGTCTTCTTTGGCAATCCCTCACAGTTGAGGATGATTATCAGGGAACCTGGTTTTCTCTGGCAAAAAAAAAAATCCCAATTTTATATATTAGTGGCTTTTCATTTTATTCATGGAAAAAAGTGGATTTGGGGTTACTTTTTTTAAACTGAAAATTGGGGATTTTTTTAAAATGGGAGAAAACCATATTATAAGCAGGATCCTTGCTTATAATAGAGCAGTTGGGCATGAACTGATAATGTTGTCATAGTGAAAAGAGGAGCTGTAAGTAATTAACCAAGACTCCCTGAGAAAATCCTCCCTGGAAAAAGAAACATGGCTTCCTGGCAGGGTGGACTGTAAGGAGCCTTTGAGTTTTTCATTCTGTTTCAAGGGTTGATTTATTTAAAGCAATCTGAGTTACAGAGGAAGTGTTAATTGGTTTTGGTCAGCTTGAACCCATGATAGTTTGACATCTTTGTAGACATTTCTACTGGCTTTTGATTTCCACAAAACAGCCAAACAGGAACAAGCTCCAGTTACTGTAGTGCCTAACATCCAGGATGGCATTGCCTGCGGTACTGTACCAAAGTCAAAAATGAATTGGCGATTACTGGTGAGGTGTCTGGCCTGAGAGATCAAAAAGGTGATCTTGTTAAAGAGTTAATATTTTCCAGTGTGAATCCATTTATTTTTATGTTTCAGGAAGAAGAAAGAAGTCCTTGTGATTGATCCTTCAAGCAATCTGTATTATAGGTGGCTGAGCATAATTGCTGCACCCGTGTTTTATAACTGGTATATACTAGTGTGCAGGTATGGGTTCATATGAAATAATTATTTTAGGTTTCAAAAATGGAATTTAAAGTGTATGATTTGGTTTCCCAACTTTGGGGTCCTTCTACCTTCCTGCAAAGTCTCATCAGTGGCTCAGCATAGGACCCTTTGTTTACATTTCAGATATCTACTTATAAAGTGGCCTGTTGTTTTTCGTACCTCTGAATCTTCAACATGCAGCAAACACGTTCAGCACTGGGCCTGCAACGGCCTCTGTGTGCCATCTACTGGCTACAGTGCAGTGATGACACTAAACAGAAGTATTATTGTAGGCACTGTTACCACTGTTGGATAAAGTTTCTTTCCTGACTATCAGTAGTCATTACAAATGTCAGTATGGTGTAGGCACATTTGAGGTGGCAGGAAAGAACTGAGAGTGGGCACAGAGATGTCATTCAACATTTAAATGAGGAATTTCTACAGGGCTACAGGGCTTTTCCTCCAAGGACCAGAAGATATTATTGGAGTGTCTGGATTTTTATTTTTAAATGTGAAATGAGCAATTAACATTAATGTCAAGTAAGAGCTAAGCAGGCTGCTTCGCCTGTGGCACGGGGAGACAGTGGGGATGGTTTGCCTTGGGCCTCTCAGTGGCAAGCCTTCTTTCTTGAATCTCAGTTAATTTTTGCCCACACATCCTTGCAGCTGTCCACCTGTGGCAGTGAGCTTGAGGATCTGTCTTGTGAAAATGGAGGCAAAGTAAAATGAGGGGAGGGGGCACAAGGGAGGAGAATAGCATGTATGTGTTTGCATGCAGTTGTGAAATTTGCCATGGTATATCAACTTTTGCTTTCAAAAGAACCTATTTAAAATTATTCCTTTTAAATTCACAGAAAAGATGCTAGTGTGTATTCATTGCTCAAAAAATGCTCACTAACAGCAATAGGTGCTGGCTGCTTAATCTGAAAGCTCTTCTTTTTCTCTGTGGGTATACACATGTATCAGTTGCATTGGTATCAAATTGTACATGTTGTACAGTTTTACATTGTACTGTAACAGCTGATCCCAAGCAGCATCTCTCTTTCCCCTTTTAAAGCAGTTAATTGAAGCCTTAAGCAAAGCTTTATATGAATTAAAGCATTTGTTTTAGAGAGTACTTTGTCAGTCTCAAACAGCATGTGATGGGGCCTGTGCCTTTCACAACATGTTAAAGGTGTTTGAAACAAGAAAGGAAGGAGAAGAGAGGGAGAGGCACATGAAATACTGCAGTATTTTTCAAAAGCTTGTTTTACTTTGGCTCTTTGGTTTCCTATGCCTGAACACACACCTCTTTTTTAAAAATAGCAAGCTTCATGCAACATGAGAACAAAGAAATGGACTTAAAGTATTTCTGGCATTTTA